TTTACATATATTTACAATGGAAAAGTATTAATATCATGGCGTTAGATAGCTCGTCAATGTTGACATGGGATCTGTGAGCGGTGGTAGAAATGGGACTGGAGAGCGGAAGAGGTCACATTCATTCCAAATGAACAAAAACGATACCATACATGTCAAGACATACATTTCACACTTCATTAGCTGAAGAGTTCATTTGACAGCGTGTCTGCAAGACAACATATTTCGAGTTTTATACACGTGTTGTGTGAAAGTTGCGTTATTAACTTTGCGCAGCTATCACGAAACTCCTCTTTACGCTGCGCATCTATGGCGTCCCGTTTTAATCCTTGGTGAACTTGCTGAAAGGCCATTTCAAACGCCAACTGTACATCGGTAACATCCTTTAATATTTCAGTTATTGTATCAAGAGACTTTTGTATAATCTGTATAATGTCGTTCACCTCGCTATCTTCGTAAGGGGCATCCGAAGGATGTGAGATCCACGTTTCCACCTTTCGTCTCAATTTATTGCCGATGTATTTAGATACGATATGCAGTATTCGCTGTTTCAATGACTCCAGATCGTCAACACATTTTTTGGTATCGTCATATAACTTGTTAGACCGACTCTCCAATTCCGGTGACGCAAGTGTCGTTCCATATTCATCGGACGTGAATGCGGCAGATATACTTTTGAGGGCATTGACAACGACATCATTTACTCTATGTGAGAAATATCTCAAAGCTTCCGCTATGAGACACGATTTACGCATAACAAGGACATCTACCCCCAAATCTGAAAACTCAATGCCAGATACTTCTGCATCCATCAATGAATGGAACATTTTCATCGCCTGTAAACAATCATAAGACGCACCTTCGGCAACTGCCGGCAACGACTGAGCAATAACTAGATATAGGTTTAGTCGTTCGTCCACCATGACACATGATTTGGGAAGCGTAAAAGACAATTCCTCCTTCTCAACTACGTATTGCTGCGTATAATACTCATCCCACGTTTCCTTCCCAAGAGAGGTTTGGAGTCCCACAATGTTGCCTAATATAATTGCCTCCAGACATGACAAACCAATATTTTGGACGGCCGCTTCCACTGTTTCACTAAATTTACAAGTTGCAAGTTTACCCAAATTCGAGATACCGGCTTTAACACCCGCAAACCAATCATCGGGACTTGTCTTCTGAGTATGCGCAACCCATTCATCCTCCAGTGTACGTAACAGCATTGGACAAAATACGTATTTACGATTAATATCATTGAGCAGTCTGCGGTACTTCATCATGAAAGTTTTAGAGCCTTCAATGAAGCTTAAAACATCACTTACCGCAAAATCTGTTTTCCATTTATACAAGAGTATCATATGTTGCGCAAAATCAGCGAATATGGTCTGAACTACCTCATCTACTATATGTTTGATCAACGCACAGTGGCGTAGAAATTCTTCGACTCCTTCAAAATCCACCGGTTCGGAGTTAGTCACCTTTATCGGATGAATATCATCGGTAACCTGCGTTTCTAAAAAGGATCCGTAGTTAAATTTGTCCTCACAAAGGCCCGGTAACTCCGCCAGCTTATTGACCAATTGATAACTAGCCGGTACTGTGGCCAAGTTTCCGTGAGGTGCAGTTGATGATAGGCAATCTCGGATTGCAGACAAAACCCTTTGAACTAAAAGGCCATATGAGTCAGTTTCTTGTGTTTGGTCATCGGTTCGTTTCATATTTTTAACGCATAGGATCTGTCGCAGTATCATGCAACCCCAAACTTGCGATAAAAATATATACGTCAATAAGGAAGTTCTATGTTTCTCGAACGAATCCATAAGTTCATACCAATTGTCACATTCCTCATAATGAAAAATGGGCCTAGAGACATGGCTGGCTGTCTTGAGCGTCTGTAGCGCTACTTCTATCATTGATGCATTCATAAGAGCGGTTGTTGGTTGTTTTATTTGGTTGATAGCAGCCCTCAGCGCTTCAACAGAAGCTGGTATATCGGCAGAACCACCAAATTCCATGAGCGCCACCAGTGCAAGATTAACAAATTTGGTCTCGGCAACGCGTTCAAGGTTGGTTACGGTTTCTTTGACAACGGAGACAATAGATTGAACCATTTTGAACTTCCAAACATCTCCATGCAAATACTTGATGACACAATTTCCAACGAGATTGGCAACGGCAATACCACGAGAGTCTGCTACACCCTGTACGTACTCCGGTAGAGCTACGATGGCTCGCAACATTTGTAAATGACCCAAGATTATTTGTAAATCTTTCTTACGCGCTATACCACTCTGCAAAATGGAATCGAGTTCAGCTTCCATGGATATTTCCTTGCTGGGCGCATTATGTACTGCCTTCATCTCACTTGTTTCACCTTCCAGGTCAGCTCGCATGCGATTGATTTGTTTCGTTAGCTCCAGAAATCGCACATGAAGTTCTTCCACACTTGTGCACGCCTCATGAACATGTACATACCGCCTCTCTAGCATTTCTTGTAGCTCTCCATTTACTGCTTCGAGCTGTGCCTCCATGGAAGACAGTATATCCGGTATGCAATCCAGTTCCTTCCTGAAAACATCATTCTTCTCTATGACATAAGTATCACTGTAATAATCCTTTGGTATGTGCGTATCGGACGGTACATCTTTGTCTTTTGTAGTCTTTAAGTTTTCACAGTTTGTCGTGTCTTCACCCATCATGGCGTAAAATACAGAGATTTGGCGCACGTACTCTGCAAAATCTGACTCCTCCACCTTAGGTATCAGCTTGGAACGTGATGCTGCTATAATGCAGTCCAAAGGATCACCGTTTACGACGTAGCTGCGCAACAATCCGGCGAAGTATTTCCCATAGAATATACCCTCGTCACGGCGATCTTCGTATACCGGATATCCCCAATCCCCCAGCGCAATAGTTGCTATGTTCGAAGTAATCCCGTGTTCGATAACGTCACCTTTGAAAACTATGCTATCGGCAGTATCCGGTGTCTTGTGGTCGTTGGCCGATACAACCGCCTTCACCGACGAAGCGCCATCCAACGTACCCTCTGTCAATGACGTATGGGTGCTGTCGCTAGCTGCTAGCACGTTTGGACTGTTTGGTCTGGTATTGGAGCCCTTATGTACTATTATTTTCTTCAAAAACTCTGGTACCAGTCTAACCATTGTAGCACTAACAGCGGAGATACCGCGGTCTAGTTAATGCCATAGCGCCATTTCATTTATTTGCTCTATTAGTCCAAGTTTTTTCAATTGGCTTCCGTAAGCCAGGCAATGCGAAGCGGCCGACTGTTTCACGCGAGACGCATGGAGAGTTACAACGTATACATGATATCAGCGTTACTTGGAAACGGAATGTGTAGAGAATTGGCCGTTGGTAACGCCAGACTGCATCGGCAGTTCAAGATATGTGGTGCCAATATACTTCAATTATCGAAATTCAGGGGGACTAACGTTAATACTGTCATCTTAATTATACAAATTGGTAATAGTGTCGTTTATACAGACGAAACATGGCAGTGCATAGCCGTCAAAACTGGCGTAGATTTGCCGCCGTGACGCGTTGTCACTTTTGCGTTACCGGCTCGTAGGAAAGCGGAAGTAATCCATCACAAATTGACAAATAAGCTACCTAAAGCATCCGTTAGATGGTTCAGGGGGATCAACGGCAGCAAAAATATGTTCTTAAGTTTCTTGATAAAATGTCGGTGCCCCAATGGAATGCTTCACATCTCATAAGAACCGTATGGCGCAGGTATATCGAAAACCATGGCGCGTTATACCATCCAAACATCCGACATTTCACCCTCCAATTGCGGTGATCAACAGACCCATCTTTTGTGCCAAATGGACGCGGGCTACTGCACTGTTGATATGCGAGCCAAAGGCTGATATACACTTAGCGTTGTGCATACACTTCTTTGTGCAGGCAAATTATGGGTACAAAATGCCATTGCGAGGCACACACCGGGGTACGCGTCCCCGAGTGCAGGAAGGAGCCCATCGATTAGGGCGGTATCGATAGCTTACACAACACACAACAGTTTTACAAGTAAAAAAATTTCTAACATTTTGTAAAGACCTTTCATATCATATCTTCACGTTGAAGACATCTGTACAGTGCGCCAACGGTCGGAATTTCTCGGTATCTCCGCAAAGCGTAACCTTCAGCACGTACGGAGGCGTTTTCTTACGGGAACTCGTCGTGTAGTGGCTCGAGTGTCACCTAAGAACTTAAAAGATAGTTCTTAGATGTACGAAAGCACTAACATGTGTTAAAATGACTAACATGATGGATAAAATTATGGACGCTGATCTATTTTTCACGTTCCGCAACCACTTAAGGTATCTATTTCATCGATCTCCTCAATCTTCTAATGCTATACATTACGACGTGAAGATGTTAAGAATGAAATTTGCCGCCATTTTATCTGATTGCGGAAATGAGGCATCTAAAATTCTCGCCTCCGACCTCATCAATGTATGCAGCAACAAAAACATCAAACAATGTTTGAAGTTCTGCTGTCGCAGTTTGAAGGATAAGGATCTACTGCCAACAAACAAAATCAACGCAATGCAGCTAGTGGTAATCATTGCACTGTCGAACGACTACAATGCATATTTAGTTGGACGCTCCAATGTGCTCAACATAATAGCGAAGTTAGGTGACACACGGGACAACAGACTCCGCAGATCCCTGTTTGGTGAGTGCGTCACCTCTCCCCAGCTCTACAAATGCATTAACTACGCCAATGCGGTCATAGAGACGCTTTCCCAAATTGAAGTATTTGACCTTACACTCCACGACCGCTTGCAGTTTGGTGTTATGTCTCTATTGTGTAAGTGTAACAAGCTGAGACTCCATCAACTTGCCACTGGCTCGGTGCCGCTACACCAAGGAAATAACACCAAAAAAGCGTCGGATGCCACATCGTACTCCAGCTCTGCCAGAGATTCAAGCGAACGTATAACATCGAAATCTAATCGCACACGCATTAAATGGTTAGAATTTCGCGTCTCTAGAATTCAGGACGAGATGGAAGAGCTCGGTGTCACCAAAGTACGCAAATCGATTATGGCACAGCAACTTGAAACCACTCCTAACACAGAGATGAGGCTGGTAGAACTGGTTAGCAACTTGTGCTACTTACGAGGGGAAAGTAGCAACCTCTTAAATGATACTATCGAAGCCGGTGACAGTAGCATGCAAGCTAACGTAAATGCTTTGATAGGTCATATCAGATCATTGGAAATACAGTGCCGCAATGGCTACATGAAACATGACGATTATGCGGATACCAGCGCGCTGAACATGACCTTTAATAGTACCGGAAAAAACTACACTTGCGCAGAGGATTTCTACACAAGCATTGATCGTTTAGACATTCCATATATGACTAACCTCAGGAAGGACGATGAAATGTCGGCATATTCTTTCAAATCGGCTCTGACGAACGTACTAGACCACGACGAAAAAACTCTGCGGGAGAGTGTAAAAACGGACACGTCACCACCAACACCCCTTGTAATAGGAAAACACGAAAATCCCGACGCTATGGGCGACGCCTATTATCTGGTGGACGGATCGAAACTTTCCGGCGTAGAGAGTTCGCGAGTTGCTGTTCATTTGGTGGAAAGCACTTCGACTATTACTCCAAATTTCGAGATGCAAAATACAAAGGTAGATGCAAAGAATACCACTGGACACCAAGCGCCACTTTCAACAGACAGCACCAAAAATGTTTTGGGCACTGTTGTTCAACAAATACCAAAGTGCATGCCCGATCCCGCGTCGTCACCCGTAGAGTCACACCGAAAGGACACGCCAAACACATCAGAGAACTGTGAAGATGGAATAATCAGCTTTGCAGCATCACCGAAACCTACTGCGTCTTGCCAGTTCAGCAGAAAAGATCTAGATATGCCGGTAGCGTCCTCATATGTGTTGCCCAAAAATGGACAAATAGATACGTCCGGTAAAACAACTAATATCATAAGTCCAGTCAAGAAGCGTGACTCTGGCGGTAATCAGAGTGAAGAGGAGAGTGGAACTTTAGAGAAGAAAGATAACACAGAAAAAATTACTCATGCAACACGCAACGTGACAACTGACCATTCAGGGAGCGTCGTTACCACCACCATTCATGGCTCTTCAGCTCCGACCGATGTTAAAAACTGTGGAGGTCCATATATATACGACTTCCCTCATTCTAAACATGCGCCGTTGAGTAGGGTATTCAATATCGACGTCGTGAATGAGGAGGTGGACGTAGAGGATGACGCAGCCACGTATAACGATTCTTCACTACTTTCAAATTACTCGAGTATACGCCAAATCGTTGCATCCAGAGATACTAAAATATACTGCGATGGCGATCTGCAAGTATTTTTCAGGCATAATCTTGAATCGGATTGTAACGGAGATGTGGTCGATTGCTACCTCACTCTGACCAATATGAACGCAGAAACAATTCAGCACGTTCAGTTCGATTTTTTGAACTTCGAACATTTCCCATTACATCTCTTATTACTCCCGATGGATACTGAAGGCACCACGATTTTGCCACGGGGTTCCATGGCGATTCACTTCAAACTGTACCCTCAGGCACCGTTCATAGGCCTACCCAAGATCGCAATTCACACACGAATTGGACATAGAGAGGTGGAAAAAAGCTATACTCTTTTCCTACCAGTACCAATATCGAGTTTCCTTGCGTCGGAGCGTTTCGTGGATTTAGGGGATGTTGAAGCGATACAGAAGCAGTCGAAATTTTATTTTTTGGCAAGAAACACTGTAAACTTCGAAAAGGCTACTAAACTGGTCACCCTGGGTAACCATCTTTCCAGTTTCAAGCTTGGTTGTGATCCCAGTAGTCTCTACATCATGGCATCCTTTTGTCAGCATCCGTGCGAGGCTATTCCTACCGAGGGTCCAAACAGATTTCAGGTACTGATGAAACTTGAAGCCACTGAGGAGGCGGAATCTTTCACCATGTATGTTTATTCCAACTCCGAGAGACTCGCAGGCGCTGTTGCTCAGCTGTATCGATACCTCTTTCACGACCAAGGGTCGGTGTATGGTGTTTAGCGCGCTGCGTGGTACGATAACATTACAATATGGTAGGAACGAAAAAATAATCGCAATGTGTGACACAATAAGTGATTCTATAAAATTTGTATCGCTAATTGATGTGAAACCTGGTGCACGGCGCGTCGCCGTGAAGGGAGTGATCGTCGAGCTTTTGGACGATCCTCCGCAGAGCGCTACACATATACGAGACCACCGATACTATTATCGCTTTGCAGACACAACGGCATCCGTAGAACTCGCCGTTCCACACGGGGTACTGCAAGATTTGGTGAGCAAGAATTTCAACAGACTCAGCATCGTGGCGGCACACAAAACCGATTTCATCGACCAGGTGCTTTTCCCCCCAGTTAGTTGAACTACACATCATTACACCTGTCTACAGGCTGATTTACGGAGCAGTGCATTTTGTGGCGACAGCCCGGGCTTCACTGTCAAGGAGTCAGGCGGCGTTACGATGAATTTCGTGCGCGGGGAGCCGCGCAACATTGGTTCCGAATTTGCAGAGGATTCTGATTGGAGCGGCTGGAGCGAGGACGAAAATGAGGAATCCCTCAAGTGGTTGTTGCAACCCGGCGACGTCATAGGTGTCTACGCATCCACCGCGTGGTCACACGGCCACATGGTACTTGTACCTATAGCAGGGAAAAAAGAGACCCTTTTAAAGCTTGGTAGGCTTGACACAAACTTCAAACTGGAGCCTGACATCAGCAGGCAGTATACGTCGTCAAGGGACTGAGATACAGCAGACCATACCACGGCAGAGCGCAATGCGTACTTTCTGCCGCCTAAACATACCATTTACACATAGTAGTTGATTTACAACTTTCCACAACCTTCTATAGTTATGTCAACCTTAGGTCGGTCGTTGTCTAATGTTTCCACTTCCTCGATGACGTCTAGTACGTCCATTCCCTCTACGACTTTCCCGAATACAACATGCTTACCATCTAGATGAGGTGTGGCGACAAACGTAATGAAAAATTGCGAGTTATTGGTGTTTGGCCCGCAGTTTGCCATACTTAGCAGACCGCGTTCGGTGTGCTTGTCATCGAATGCTTCGTCGTCGAATTGGTCACCGTATATGCTGATACCGCCTGTTCCGTCTCCATTGGTAACGTCGCCTCCCTGGATCATAAAGCCCTTGATGAGTCGGTGGAACTTGTTACCCTTGTAATTAACATCAGCGTTTTCGTCGCTGAGCTGCTGGAAATTTTTGACGGTTTTAGGCACTGTATCCTCAAACAACGCTATGACAATCCTGCCGCGATATTCTCCGACAGATATGTCCATGTACACCCTAGGCAGGAGGTGGATGTTCCTAACACCGCGTTTTTCGGTGTATAGCGACAAATTTTGAAAAATGCTTCCATACTTTTTCTTCGCACGTTCGTTTTGCTCATGAAGCTTCACTTTCGCCATTTTGTACAAGCTTAAGGCGTCCGCATTCTTAGGCTCAATCTTAAGCAGCTGCGTCAGATCCTCTATGGTCTCCGCAAATGAACCCGTTTTGATCCTGGCTAGCGCCCGGCGATATAACCCTTTAATGTTCGAGGGTTCCAGCCTTAGACCTTCTGTAGCGTTGGTCTCAGCGTTAAAGTAATCTTCAATTTTTAAAAAACAGTTCGCCAAGTTAAGGTGACATTGCAGTTTTATCCGATCGGATACTTGACGGGCATCATCTGGCCACTCATCTCTCGCCGTCAGGTACCGTAAACCGTCCTCATACATGGATATGGCGGACCTATATTGCCCCTTCATGAATTTCTGGTTACCCGTCGCTTTCGCATCGCTAGCTGCCTGTATCCTTTCTTCCATAGACATATCATTGTAGTCCTTCGGTTTCGGTCGTGAGTTTAAAAGTTCAATTTCGAACTACAAAAAATGAGCGTGCAGACAGAAGACTTACATATAGCACTGAGTTTGGCGGGATCGATGTTCCAGCACCCGCAGCTCCGTATCCATATTCCGGCTGTATTACAAACAAAGACTTTTCTCCGAGTTTCATCGACGCCACACCAACATCCCATCCCTTAATGACGTTGCCAGTTCCCAGGAGAAATTTGAACGTAGCATTGCGTTTATCTGCGCTGATGTATTCTGGTGATTGAGTGGAAGTCACTCACGTGAAGAATCGAAGACAAGCCCGGATTCTAGCTTGCCTGTGTAATGAACCTCTACTTCGTGCCCATTTTCAGGCCTGATAAGATATGAAATCCATGCATCTGAGACAGTACTAACGTTTCATCGCACAAGGCTTCCGTCAGTATCGTTTTGACTACACCAGAGTCACCGGTCAAATCGATTGGTGCTGTCATTCTGCAAAATTTATCCCGCGTGTTTCCTAAACTTAAAACACGATTCTGTCACGTGCATACGCGACTTGAGTGCCGTCTCCGTGCTTTGGCGTCCTTTAAAGGGAAAACCTTCCTTTTCAGATCAATGTGATATTCGTGTTACATCTAATACCCAGAAAACTATTAAACTCTTGTAAAAATGAGTGCGTGACAACGTTCAGCGCAATAAATGGATGACCTCACCGCCTCCCTATGGCAGTGTGGTCGATGTCTACGACATCTACACCTGTTGGCGGCGTAGCATTGCGAAATATAGGCACACACAAAATGTGTACGTTTTGGTAGACACTTCACAGTGGTGAAGAAACCGCCACCGTCTCGAAGATGACTTGAGCTTTTTTCACAGGACCCTGGGCTTGAAAGTTTGCTTACCTCCGAGAATATGAAGTCACAAAGACGATTCCTCCTCTTCTACTTCGGAACGGTCTTGGCGGTTTTTTATTCGGTCTACTACTACATCGTTAAGGGTGTCCCTGGCTCCCTGTCTAGGTACAGTATCGACCGGTATGTAGGACGCTTACCAAAACCCTTCTTGAACAAATGCATTATATACTATGATGCTCATTTGAGCGGTTCGACAAAGGGTATTGCATTAGCTGTCGCACGGCGTTTCATCGCAAATGGCGTGGATTCGGAGGCCTCAGCTGTCGAAGGCTATAAATATGCTGGGCAGCTTAAAGAATCCTCGTACGTTCTCGAATCTCAAGAAGGTATGAAGTTTCCCCCAGATACTTTCACAGATATGATTCAGATCTCCTTGACCTTTCTAGTCCCTTCAACGTTGTGCTGCAATACGTGGAAGATCCACCTACGAAAGGTGATTTCGATGTCGTCGTACATGGAGGCAGATTGCTAGTTTTTTCGCTTAGCCGCAGAGCGGTGATGTCTAATCACACAGAAAGAAGAGTATATGACCTCATACAAGGAATATTCTTCAAGAACGAGGGTATGCCGTCTACAAGCATGACGCCACTGCTCGATCTGACTTTCGTTTTCATGAGTGATAAAGTAAAAGTAGCGTGGAGTTCAAGTTTAGGCGTGATACGTGATCTATTCTTCCCCATTGCCAATGCGTTGTCCTTGTTCTACGACATCAGCACCCACAGCCGTGTTATTTCAGGGGCAAACTTCACTGCTACAATGAAACTTAAGAGCAACGGTAACGTTGACCTACAGGAGCAGCCTTTTGAAATGTTTGACTTTCTAGAGCGCATTATCAATGTGGAACTGGGTACAAGGGACTCTTTTATCTATAGGCACACCCTCGCTTTTGTTTGTCACGCACCTAGCCAAGTACTGCGTTTCTATGACAGAGCACTTCATCGAGAGACCGAGTCCGTTGCAATTAAAGGGACTGGAGTGTTGTCATTTGTGGATATCAACGATGAAAACGTCATGGAATACACTATGGGCCGTGATGACGCAGAGCTGTTGATTGGGTCATGGGCTACTCATATACGGCGGATGCACAACTTACCTCCTAGCCGCATCGAAACTGTGGCAGAGAGCCTGAATGCAGATGATGTGATCACTGTTCTGGATGATGGTTTATACTTTATAGACTCGTCGCATCATTCCTTTACGATCCGGCTGCAGCCCCCAGGCCTGGTGTCATTTTACGGATTTGAGGTCTCCAAAATTGCAAATTCACTCTATCATATCTATTTGAAAGGGGCGTTGGACGCGCTTCATAAAGTGGTCAAACCCTTGTCTAAAATAAGTTTCATGACTAGGGTGTCGCCAGCGGCGGTGAACAGCGCAAAGGTACCTATTTTTTGTGTCATATTCATTTTAAATTCAGGAGTCCCACGAGGCAATAGGTTGCCTTTATGGAGTGGGATGTGACGGCCTACCTTCGAACAACATGGAGGCATTGGCACTGGCGAGAACGGCGTTCAAGCAGGCCCTTGAGGCCATGGGCGACGACGAGACCTACGCAAAGAACGCCGTTTCGGTGGAACACGGTATCGCATCACTGATGTGCGACGCGTTTCCGTTTGTCTTCCCCATGTTGGCTAATGCGTTGAAATATGTCCTGGAGCGGTAAACCACCCGGGACACCCACGACATGTTAAAGTTACGAGCTCTATAATCTTATATGTGATTTGCTTCTCTAGGTGATGTGAAAATTTAACACAATGCGTTGATTGTTTTAGAAACACTTCCTGTGGACAATGTTTGGTCCTGACTCGTCGAACTCCTCCTTGGTGATCCACATCTGCTGGAAGGTAGAGAGGGAAGAAAGAATGGATCCTCCAATCCAAACAGAGTATTTACGCTCCGGGGGGGCTACGACCTTGATCTTCATGGTGCTGGGCACAAGAGCGTTTAGTTCTTTGGTCATACGCTGACCTATACCCTCGTACATGGTTGTACCTCCAGATAGAACAACGTTTGCGTAGAGATCCTTGCGAATATCTACATCACACCTTGCAATCGAGTTGAAAGTAGTCGTGTGAATACCGGCTGATTCCTGTCCGATGAAGCTTGGTTGGAAAAGCACCTCCGGACATCTGAAACGCTCATTTCCCACGGTGATGATGTTTCCATCAGGAAGTTCGTAAGATTTTTCGATTTCACTGGAAGAAGCGGAAGAGTTCATTTCCTCCTCAAAGTCAAGTGCAATGTAGCAGAGCTTTTCCTTAATGTCTCTCACAATTTCCTTTTCAGCAGTGGTGGTGAAGGTGAAACCACGCTCGGCCAAAATCTTCTGCATGAATTCTGTCAGATCACGACCGGCGAGGTCGATACGCATGATAGCGTGTGGCAGAGCATAACCCTCGTAGATGGGGACGGTGTGAGTAACACCATCACCTGAATCCAGGACAATACCGGTGGTACGACCAGAAGAGTACAACGAAAGGACGGCCTGGATGGCAACATACATAGCAGGTACGTTGTGTGTCTCGAACATAATGGTGGTCATCTTCTCACGGTTGGCCTTGGGGTTCATGGGAGCTTCAGTCAACAATACGGGGTGTTCCTCAGGTGCAATACGAAGTTCGTTGTAGAAAGTGTGATGCCAGATCTTCTCCATATCTTCCCAATTAGTCACAATACCGTGCTCAATGGGATACTTCAGGGTCAGAATACCACGCTTGGCTTGCGCTTCATCTCCTACGTAGGTGTCCTTTTCGTCCATGCCCACCATAAGAGCGGGATTCTTCGGCCTACCAACGATGCTAGGGAAGACGCAACGGGGAGCATCATCTCCCGCGACACCGGCCTTCACGTTTCCGGAGCCATTGTCAATGACCAAAGCAGTAGCCTCTTCGTCAGACATTTTTCAAAAAATTCTGTGTAAGGATTAGGATTATGCAAACAAATTAAAAATGGTAATAACAGATACAAAGGCATATAGGTGCGCGTGCTGATTCGGCCCTGCCGCGGGCGCGCGTCCGCAGGGACCGCGTCACACAAATCATCACGGAACGACGGATGTGATCAAGTGGGCATGAATCGCATTTAATGCGTCAAGTGCATTTCACGGCACACGGTGACAGCAGTTTCCAACCATCTTCGTAACGGTAGAATGCGCAAGGTGTCGAGGCCGACTGCCACGATGGAATACACATGCGCTTCTACTGTGCAAAGCCACCACAACATTTATTTACTTACCTCTAACGGAGCGCGAAAAAGTAGAACTTCAGCAATAAGAATCGTAGAACTCTATTCAGAAAAGAGTTTGTGAATTACAACCCGCGTTGCACATGTGGGAGCGTTGCAACACCTACGCCGTGGGGCGGCGGTATTTTTCCGTCAGCGGCGGTGCCTGAGCATCTAACCCGCGATTCTGACGCGTAACTGGATCTTCTCCGCATTTGACACCTTTTTGGCATGACAATATATATTATTCCTGTCAGCGATATCTAATTTCTTGCGTCGGCTGGTGATTACGCCGTGACCCCTTGAAAAAATTTTCTTTCACATGTACGATACGACGGGAAACCACGTTTCGTGTGTAGCGTAATTGATATTTCGGCGTTGACTGAACGTTCGATGGCACTACAAATTTCTTCATGACAGGGTTTAGCTAGTTGGTCGCAACATGTTCCTGGAACCGGCATTTTGTGTAGTTCCTTTTTTTGTTTCGACTATTAGTTACCAACGAAATACAGCCCATGAATAATGGCTACATGTGATTGGCCGATTCTATGGTTCTATAGCCCTTGTTGCGCTAGGTATTTGCTCTCTCCCGAGCACGGTGAGAGGTTGGCACTTCCAGCCATGTGAGGCCCTTATGGAAGGCAATTTGACGGTTCAATTATTATTTTACGATTGGTAATCACCCGAATGGTCTTTTGGGGCTAGGCGGTCACAGTGCCGCGTTCACACATCAGCTTGTAGAAGGCACTTTATTACTTGTCACGCGGATCCCTATGACGTATCGGATGCTCACTATGGGTAGAAAGATATGCCTAATACAATTACTGCCTTGCTGTGTCATGGGCTGGCCGACCTACAGACTGCACGGCTGGTTCGGGGCATACAGAAATCATAATTCCCGACCTTCCTAGCGGTTTGAGGTGGATCAGCATGTTTATTTTTAAGGAGATTACTACACATATGTGTAAGTCTCACACCTTGCAGCATTCGTATGTACCTACATGCAAAAATGTCTATGTTTACTAACAGTTCCTTATATAGGTTGATTTATACCAACGGTATAGAGGAAGCGACATGACTTGCACATATACAACACAAATATGCCGTTTACAATCTGACGAATGCACACAAATGCGCATCGTGTATATTACAAGTGCTTTATCTACGGTTGTGAACGGCCATTTTGTGTACTTATGCTCCAGCATCTGATTTACCGTTACAGCACATGACAAGCGGTTACCTTGCCATATCTACAAGCTTTATGTTCGACAGGATCACCTCAGAAAATGTTGAAAAAATATATGCCGCTACTCCGCTTGAAGCTGTAGCACACATTACACGAGGTTGGGTAGCGTCAGCCTCCTCGACGCCCAAATTTTTTAACGGCAGTTCCTCACTTGTCTTGTAATCGCCCGTCTGATACCAGCTAATTGCTTGCGCACGTGCGTTTGTGTGATGGTACGCCGATGCCGGCACCTTCCAAGTTTGGAACATATGAGCTAGGCGCAGCGAATTTACAAGTTAAAATTAACTAACCGCAGGTGCGTATTGATACACACGTCTATGGATGACTGTATGACGAGGAGTAACAACCAAATACAACTCCCAACCATTAAGTAACGCTAGATAACGCGATATACCGTGTACTACCCAATTGACCCGCAGTACAGCGGTATCATCAGACTTTATTTATGCCTTGTTGCACACACACATGTACGAAGGATTATTCATGGCAGGAAATTACAATTATTTTTGCCGAGACGCAGCATCCAACCACGCGAGGTAGTTACGCCCGCCTTAAAAACATAAAATTTGTCAGATATGTGTAACACATTGAACCATCTACCGAACATGAAGTGACACCTCTGCACGATAATGTCTTTGTTAAAGCTGGATACCTGTGTCCTCGTTGTAGGCGCAGGACCAGTCGGCGTCACTCTGCAGCTCCTACTCTCTCGCTTTGGAGTGCCGTGCCTCTTGGCTGAACGCAACGTGTACCCACGTACTCATCCGCGTGCGCACTATGTTAGTAATCGAACGATGGAAGGTTAGTATAATAGCTAACCGACTTGAGCCCACGGCTGCTTGTCGCCGTTAGTTCCACGTCCAAGCACGTACACAACAAACATAATAGCACTGTGCAGTTTGGAGGCAACTGGGACACTTAGACAAAGCTATCGAATGTATCACCGAGCCGCTGGGATACTGGCGCTACTTTAAATATTGCCGTCACCTCACCGATCCTCATGTCAATCTCTACGGTACTGTCGACCACTTCAAAGGTAATGATCACTGTTGCCCTCCAAACTTTTGTTCAGATGCGTTCACCTACAGTGACACCTATTTCGACGAGCTCAGCCCCTCGAGGATAACGAACATCCCTCAGCATAAGCTTCTGTTCCTCCTGAAGACGGTGGCGCTCGGCAGATCCCAGGTTTACTCCAGCACATCGGACAATGCATATCTCACATGGTTAAAGACACACTACACTCATGTGATGAAAACTAGCAAGTTCGATGAATCTAAATTGAGCCGACTGGCTGCCCTTCGTGGCCCTGCAATATTGCCCCTTGAACTTGAGGGAGTCATGGGCAATGACGACGCAAAAACCAACGTACCATTCGTAGATGGAGGCCTAAAGTTTGAAAAATTTGTGAACGACGACATGACCAACGGCGTTGTTTCTGAATTGACATCCATAAGGGATGGTAGAACGTTGCACGTAAAAAGCGCCTTCGTAGTAGGGGCAGATGGCATCCACAGCAAAGTGCGGCAGTACATCGATAGTAAAATTCCTCTTAAGACATCCAGCCGAACGGATACGGATCTGCTGAAAGACGTTATTAGCGTGTACTTCAGCTCAGCGCAGCTCGGACAACTCGTGGCATCTAACCCTGCCATGATTTACTTCATATTCTCTCGCGTAAGTATAGTCATTTGTTACGAAATATCTTTTATTGTCATCAAAGTCGTGCAGTGCATTGCCGTACTCGTTTGTCAAGGGGGGACACCGACGGAGTTCGTCGCACAGCTGCCATTCTTCTCTGAGATCGAAGACGCCGCGAACTATGATGATGCAACGTGTGCCGCATACATAAATGAATTTGTAGGCACCCGTCTAACTGATTTACGTATAATTGTAAGTATAACTCAGCGGGAAATGCCATTTGACAGAACGTAAAAAAATGGACAGTTTCCACGGAAACCGCTGGTTCTTTCGTGGACCCCGACAGTTGCAGGATTCTGATCGCTGGCGATGCTGCACACGTAGTTGCACCAGCTGGAGGCCAAGGTATGAACATGGGTATTGCTGACAGTTATAATCTTGCGTGGCGTTTGGGGCGTCTGTTTTACCGAAGAGTCCTTAATGGCGGTTGGTGTCCGGTTTTTTAGTCTACAGTGCGTGTAGCAAGCGCCTACCCTTCCGTTGGATCTATGTTCGACATTGTTGAGAAGGAACTTACCGACGGTGAGAGACGTTCTATTCTAGACTACGCGAAGGAGAGGCGTGCCGTTGCAGAGGTTAGCGTTCCTTTCAGCAGATATTAAGCTCTGCAGTACACTCGCGGTATTTGCTTGACCGAGGTGAAAAATGGCTCCAAATTTGCCAACAGCCTCCACTACGACCATGCACTAATACATCGAATAATGCAGTTGTTGCCACAGATTGGCAATAAAACGTCGGCGATTATACGTAATGCGCTCACGATGGCAAAATGTACAGTATGTTTTCTTTTGGACCCCTATTGTGCCTTTCATCACAGATGAAACATGCCTATTCGACACCAAAAATGATGGACTCGATTAGGAGTGGCCCCGGAGCTGTAGTCTCATCGGGAGACACATTAGGTCTCGCCTTCCCAGGATCAGACCTGGCATATGCATACGGCGGTGTGTTAGTTTCGATTCGGTGTAAATCCTCGCAGATGGTACCGATTTGTTTTTGTCGACGTCTCATCGTAGATATGAACCTAGCTCCATAATAGGGCGGAGGGTACCACACTGTTTTTTTTATACTACGCTAAGGGAAAACGGTCGGTTTTCGCTTTTGGAGCCCCAATCTGTCACAGTCTACAAACTATCAACAGTCGATTTACCTTCATTTTTAAACCCAGCCATATACTTTTGTTGGCTTGTGTTCTCGCCGATATTGTGAGTTGATGTTACCCTTGATAAAATTTGCCAGGGCCCATGAGTTGTACAACGTACTCTCTGAGGTAGCTCCGGAGAGAGGGACCCTGTCATACGTCTGTTTATGGAACGCACCTTATGTTACGGGAAATAGGAAAGACGCCATAGAAATAAATGACCAACCTTTGATGTTGGAAGCTGCCGACATCAACGGAATGGGAGTGGAATTAGCTGCTCGGGAGATAAAGATCCAAAAGGTCGTCACAAGCGTACACCATGGTTCTTCACCCAATTTCCTCTTCCAGAAGTTAGGCAGCGATGGAAACGACCTGTATGAACTCGTTTCCAATATGAGAAAAGGCATACACCAGAATCCCGCAGTTCCCATCAAGGCAGTTTTCAGTGATAAAGGCAGCTTAGACAGATTTTCAAAAGCGTTGTGCGGAAGGGAAGCGGACCTCTCCAATTCCCTTATCCTGCTTCGACCCGACGCCCATATACTTGCGTTCAAGGAGTTGATACACATTGAAAAATCACATCTAGAACATTACATAAAGGAGTTAATGCTATAGTAACCTTTAATTTAGTTGGCTTAATTCTGCTCCCCCTGGGGCTCTACAACGTGCTCTTTGTGCTGTTCGCTGACTGCGTCGGCATCCTCTCTTGGGGTAATTTTTGATTCATCAGTCTGTAGGCGAACCACTTGATGGGAGCGCTCCGAATCCATTGAGTACATGTGTGGTATTTTGGGGTTGGCAACGCCTTCCATCACGTCCCTCATGACGGGTGCCACATGTCCAGTGGTGTTAGGGTTGAAAAAGCAGTTGGGGTGCTGAATGCCCAAACCGTGTTGAAAAACGGGTGTACCCATTTGGTTCATCCCAGACACCGACTGGACGAACTTCGAGGTTGGAGTGGTCGGCATAGGTACAAACTGATGAATTTCAACTGCATGTAGCTTGAAAGTCTTCGGCTTCATGGCACACTTCTTCTGCACCGGATTCTGTGTTTCATATACTGTAGGTTCCTGTATAAGAAGTGGTTGAGACAACAACTGACTGCTAGCAGTGTGCACCCCCCCAGTAGCATCATGTATAGGTTGCAGGCTTATTGTTGAAACCTGCCTCGAGATACCATCCACAGGTACCGCAGCAGTGCTCATTGCTCTTTGAGCAAACAATGGATTCATTGTGAACATATTCCGCAACCCGAACGATCCCTGGGTAGCATACGAAGTAAGGCCATTTGCAGAGTTCTGACCAAAACACGAACCAAAGCAGCTGACATCCGATGACCCAACCGGAATTGAAGCTTGACTCTGTATCGACGTCATCGGCACCACAGTTTCTGCGTGATTCGAAATGGTCCTCGGATAACACATGCTAAAGCATAATGGAGCACCCCTGATGATACATTAGTAGTAAAAAGTAGTAACTTACGTATTAACCGTTTCGTTGTTCTGAAGATTGTTAACCTGGCAAACACTATTTGCGGCATGTGTTGGAATTGATGTCTGATGAACAATGCTGCCCTGAGGTACCATTCCGTTGTGCGTGATTATGCCCTCTTGTGGAACCAAACCATGTTGCACGCACATACTTGCTTGCGGAACAACGACACGTTGGGAATTGATGCTTTCTTGTGGCGTTATTCTATGGGTCGCATTAATACTGCCCTGCGAAACCATTCCAGCATTCGAAACAACATTTGCTCTAGGAGAATCGTTTTTTTGCGATCCGATTGGCACGCTAACGTTGCTTTGAATTGATCCACCCCTGGACGGCATGACTATATGTGTAGCATTTGACATTCCAGATACTAGACTGCTTTCTCTAACCAAAGTGTTGGCGTGAGAAATAGTTCCAGATGCGTTCTCGTAACCAGGCACCTCACCGGTGTTCATGCAACACGAGTTAAATACACCACATATGGGTTGTCGTTTCGTCTTTTGGATTGGCTCAACATTGCCTTGTTCAGTTTGATGCCCAGTGACGTGTACTGTTGTGTCATTGGCATCCTCTAGCTTTTGAACGTATTCTTCGGATGCATTAGAATCTTGCCAGTTAAAGAGTGTCCTCAGCTTAGCAAAAGTTCCCTGATGTTTAAGCGGTTCCGGCTGTGCTGACTGTTGTGGTTGCGTTGGCTGCTCAGATGTCTGTTTCCAAACGTAGTGCGTGACGTTTACGGGTTGATCAGCAACGAAACCGTGTGGTTGGTCGTTGAATAGTTTCGATTGAATCTGATAGAGAGGCTCCTTTTGCATTACTTGTACGCCTTGACATAATTGTTGGTTTGTTCCAAAAGGCGAAGCGAATACATGCTGTTGTTGAGGAATGATTCCCGGAGTCCCTGAAAGAACTTGGGTACCGTGATAAACGGGACTGTATACGGGGATAGTAATAGGAATAGCTCCATCCCTTGGCGTACAGCAAGGTTTCACAAGTTGAGCTGATTTAGGAGCGCTGCTCACCCACGTCTCCTTTTGGTGCTCGTGAGGCGCCTCTTCTTGAGAAACCGGATTCATGTTGACGATCAAATTAATTAAATATTAAATGAAAAACTCTTAATAAAACTTGGACTAGAGGTTCAGTTGATCTGTATAATCCTTGACAGGGTGGAGCGCAAACTTCTGCACAATCCTATCGGCGTCTGTCAGCGGTGTATTTTGTGTAGATACCGACTCCTTAAATCCTCGTTTTATACTTGCAACAGTTGCCTGTTTGCTGAGTAATCCGCTGTTCCTTATGATGTCCCGTCGCAGGGTGAAACGCGGAAGGTGCGCACCATCTACATGCACCTATTGCATCAGGTCCATAAGCTCAATTTAAAAAATAGGACAAATGACCAAGTGTCTGAAAATGGTATTTATTTGTTAATTTTAGAGCCATATTGGTGTGCTATTGGTTGTCTTTCTTTGTAGAATTACGGTATGCTGCCTTTAACGCTGCGTCGTCTGTATTCGTCAGCGACCTGATATTGAACGTACGAACCATTTTGAAGAGTTACAGATTAGCAATATACTCTTAGTTAACTCTTGGGATGTGATGATCTCTACACATCGGTCGAGTAGTTGATATTTGAAAACTTGTTGTCTTCTCCAGATTTTCAAGTACTTGGCGCTAGAATTGTAGACTAACACTTATGCCGAATCTAGGCGAATTCGGAAGACACCTTTTTTCATTCACTCTTTCGCCGTGCACAGCCGCCTGCTTTGTGCGACTAATTGCTGTGGCGAACAGCACCGCTATGTCGAACATCGCTATTCCCTGACGGCCGAGACTTGTTAAATAAATTCTCTGTTTGGCAAGAGCTAATTCTAGGTGATTTGTTTACCACTCTACTTTGGGTGTAAGCACAGCAACGTCAGCAACCTCTCAGCGATTCACCATGAATGAGATGCTACGGCATGCGTTACACCGGGATTGTTGTAACTGGGCATGACCTTTTGCAAATACGCGTTTCATCATTATAGTATTCGTAGGACGGGTTTATCCCCCCCGTGCATCTTATATCGTGTGTCGCCAACTGCGATACCAACGAACACATTCTCGAAAAAATTGGCACACTTGGTTAGGTAGTCACAATTATGCCTATGGTACCATCTTAACTATTACAAGGTATTGACCTAAGGCACGGCTGCCGCGTGTTCGCGCTGAGGAATAACCCGGCGTTACCCCAACCAACACGCCCAGAGGACTACAAAAACACTATCTAACATAAAAAAGTTCGATGCACATTAATTTTACTTTTGCAGTTACAGAGAAGATCCTATATCGGTCCCCAACGCCGAACAAGACATTGAATGACCGGGGACGTGTCATGTGTATATCGACCGATAGTGAATAATGGTCACTGTGCATTCCACTCAACAGCTGTAGATACCATTTCAGTTGTTTTCTAGATTGTGAGGTTGCGGTCTATGAAAGAATTCATGTGGTTAGATGTGACGATGAGCAAACGACGCTCAACAACGCCTGAGTTGGCTACAATATGATCGACCTCAACATCCCATGGACACCCACGAGTGACGCTTCGGCGTGGTTACTTGCTGCCCGCAACTGTGGGTGGGAGACACTGGGATTCAACGTTTACTTACGTGCCGATAAGACAGGTTTGCACGACATACCTCTCACGGTTCCACTTGACCCACCAACAAACGCCAACGACACAAGTCATGTCGTCACTTCGCTAGGGAGGTATTCGCCGGTGGGATCAAGCGTCATCCGCCGGGCCACTGTAGTGCTGTACGACGGGTTCCAACCAAATTCATTCAATAAAATCGCTGAAGGTCGCGATTACGATGTCATCGCAGTCATGCCTACAACGCAAAAGACGTTCCAGGCTGCTTGTGAGGTGCTTAACTGCGACCTTATAAATTTGGACTATGTTTGTCATTATGCGCCATTCAAAGTCAAGCGTGGCATGGCAACGGCCGCTCTGCATCGCGGGTGTTTCTTCGAAGTTAATATGTCCACCCTCAACCATATGGAGGACTCAGAGGGTACATCAAGCCGCCCAAGCAATGATGTTGCCAGGGTATTTCGCACTCACCTGAGTAAGGTGCTACACTACATCCCATTGAAGCGTCTTGTTTTATCGCCAGGGAATAGTCAACATTCAAACATCATTGATCCTGACACCTTCGTTGGGATGTGCGACGAGTTAATTTCAAGAGCTACTGGGGAGCCTTGCAACGCTCGTGTCTGCATCACGACCGCCCCCAAGGGCTGCATTAAGAAGGGCGCCGCTAGGCGCACTCATGGGACGGGAATTATACTACATATTGCGGACGAACACCTAGGTAGCAAATTCACCGCATTAGCACAATGAAAATAGATGAATCACACGTCCTTTGTACCATTAATAATGTCCTAAAAGATAATGCATTTACGCGTGACGAACCAACCTTAATACATTCAAATATCCTGGCGTCTATGTAATCAACAAGCCCCGAACTTTCTCTAAGGGTGTTGTTGACACCTAAGAAGAATTTGTGCTTGACGACGCGTGAAGCACCTCCAACGGCACCAAGACGTGCTGAGGGCACACCTTGCAGGAGCTGTGCGATAAGATCTTTGGCATCGTCATCATTGATATCGCTAAAATCGATCCCTTGTGGACTTATTACGACCTTGTTGTAGAATTCCACGTCGTCAACGGCGTTTTCAGCCACAAAAGGAAGTTTCCTGCGAGCTCATGATGCTTATGGCACCGCCACGTACCCCGTGAGCATCTCATAGACGAGAGCCCCAAAATACCACCAATCGACCTCTTTTGTGTACGAGGCACTGTCAGATCCCAATTTCGGGTGCTGGTGACATTTCAGTACCTCGGGTGGCATAATCGAGTAGGTACCTAAGAACGAATTCATTCGCGTGTTGCCGTTCTGCAAAATTTTGCAGAGGTTAAAATCGATTAACTTCAGATTTCCCGATACCGCGACCATAATGTTGCTAGAAGTAACGTCGCGGTGTGCAATCCCTTCTCCATGAATTGCACCTATGGCCTCCGCCACCTGAAGGGCGTATACTTTTGTCGTGTCAACATCCAAACAGCCGTTGCGACGTATACGCGCCCATAAGGTTCCACGCCAAAGGTATTCCATGGCACAGTATGCGGCACCGTCGAATTCGAATGTTTCAAGGCTGCTCATGTTATAATAAAGCGGATTATGTGACCTACAGCGTGACTACATTCTTCGATCGGCGAAGTCGTTGCAGCGATCTAATTTCGTTGTTGGTTCTTTTTTTAATGTTTATCTGGCTGCGATCATCCGGACAGTGGTATCGCTTCAGAATGCAGAGCATATTGCTTCCGCAATAATGGTCTAGCGCATCTGCTGCCTCGGGATCGACGTGAACAGGCCCCCGCTTAGGATTGGTCACCTCATACTCCTCCACATTCCTCTCACTAACTCTGAACCCATGTTGTAGAAGCAGTTCCGCATCGCTAATAGTGTAGTCCACTGAGAGTGATTCCGATGGTACCCGGAAGGCCAAGAATATTTTGCAACTGGGCTTCCTTTCGACAATGCACAAGACGAAGTACTTAAAAAAGCGCCTACGCCTACGGCAAAGTACAATTCGACTTTGCTTATGACCCATTGTTACTGATATTCGGAGGTGATATCTCTTATCAGGTTGACGGTGGCGGTATCGAGGCACGGGCCCCTTTCTTCCTTACACATCAGAATCTCTAGAAGCAATTAGAGTACTAACTACCGTAAACAGCAACGTTTTGACCCTTGCTCCCTATTGTTGTTGTAAATTACTAGCTAACGTGGCCCCCGCACGTATGTTTATGAGGCATCCGAATCTCCAAATACTGAAGGCGTGCCCCAAAGCATGGTGTCTGCAATTGTAGTAATAAGGTAGAAGCTGATGTGACCGTTTTCTTTTGTAGAGTGACGCATATGTTATAGCATACAACATCATTAACGCGTTGCTACGTAGTTACACACGTATCCGATGCCACCTAACTCCATAACGGAGCTCATCGGTTCATCATACAAGGTTATTGTCAACCTTCTGGTCAACAACAAGCGCGTTTTGTCGGTGTGTTTATTTCTGAGATAACTGTACACCATTTTAGGGAACAAACAGCACTGCGTTTTTACAACACCTTGAACGCTCCTTACCGAACCACTTTTGGGATCTGAACACCGATCACGTGGCGGTACTGCTTTTCACATCGTTACGTTCATCGTCAAGAGCGAGTCCCGCAGTACGATCGCTATGCGCGAGGTTGTGCAACATATACGACGATGCCGAACGCGCGTCCTACGACCGCGGTTCGTCAAATAACACGAGATCGACTCTATTTGATTTGGAACACCTAGTTGTAGTGACGTGGTGTTTAGACCGTCTTTCCAGTCGCAAAACCGAGGTACAGCTGCCAAAAATGGTTCGAACAATGGCACCCTCCCTGTTGCACTGGATTGATGAGGGTATTACCAGTTTAAGCAACGCTTCGGGTACGCTTACGGAGAGGCTGCCTCCGGATGCTTACGCTAAAATGTGCACGGTGTTTGTTTGTCTAAGCAACGCTATGGAGCGCAGCGCACGCTGTGATACCACCGACGGTTTACAGGAAAAACAAAGTCTCAATGTAACTTACGCCCATTTGGCGGAGTTGATACTACAAATGTGTATTAGCGATTGTGCCACGTACCGGAGTCTGCCCGCTGATAGCAGGCACAATCAACCTTTTGAAGTAGCCTATGAGGCATACATCGCATGCAGTCTCAGTGTTCTAATGGTATTACTTGGCCACGGCTTTTCAGCCGCTTCAGCCATCTCATCGTACTTTAAGCTCATAGAAATGTTGGACTTTACTCAAATAAAAAATGTGGAAATCCTCGTTCAAACTTTTAACATGATGAGCACAGAAAAGGTTAGCAGTTTCACTTGTATTTAACCATATTCAGAACATTTGTGAAATAACTGAAACCATCTCTAATAGGCTGCTAGACGAGATAGGCACTAGGGAGCTGCACGATTTACCCAACGACCAACTTTACAGTTTCTTGCGCGGGTGCAGCTCCGTCCCGATACAGCATTTAGATGCCTTGGAAGCTGTTAGCGATGCTCTAATACAGCGGTCTCACCAGCTTCCAGATTTGCCGAAGGTAATAGAGATGCTGGAGTACTTCACAAAATTGTCGTACCACAACTCAGCACTTTTGGAGATGTTTGTTCGCCACGTTCAAAATAACGCGGAATCGGCGACACGCGCTCAGCTGTCTTCAATGTTAGAATCTTGTGTATGTTTCATTTCTGCATCGGCCCTTTCATGTATATTTCAGAGAGCGCTACGATTCTACCATCCTTCTTTAGAGACATTCAGAGGGGATTAATAAAAGTTTTGGGGGTTACTCATTGCTGTACGTCTAAAGCAGAAATGCAAAAGCTGAGAACGGCATACTCCCAAGCGTTGTGCGTGTTGTTTGGGTATTGACTGTGCGACATATACCTTAGAAATTGGTAAGTTACAACAAGGGCACGGCTTTAATATTGCTGCAGCTGAGGATGCCGTCCATCGCCAGTAGACAGCCAGTGGCGAAGGTGCACTGGGATCTCGCATACCGTCATTCGCCTGCTCTGTGACACGTATTACGTATCTCCGTCATACGCCCATTTGATGTAACGGGTTATCCAAAGAATAGCGGCTCCATGGTGTTTTTTATTTCCACCTTTTCACGGTGGACCAATGTGTTGCACGGCTTGGGATGTGCAGGTACACATTTGAAAGGTATCATTGGTATATCAGGGCATTAGTTTGTGCACAGCTACTAAAGTTGAGATTCCACGACGCAGGAATCGTTATGTCAAGCATTTGGTCATCTCCGCCCCTCAGTTAGACAGCGGCGTTAGTCACGATGTGTAAAGTGCAAGACATCAGCACCCAAAACAGAATTAAAACCTAACCAATATTCTACAAAAATTTCTGTCGTTATAACTGCTGCCTATAAGATATGATTTCAGCTGTGTAGCCGAGATGTGTAACATGGTCGTGACCGTTGAAGGTTTGCACAATTAATATTGCCCAGTTGTCGGATACGTTAGGACTGTTGCATTGCGCGATTAATGGACCCATCTGCACTTAGAGAGCTCGTCGAGGCAGCAAAAGTATTGAAGGCGGAGAAGGCAAACCGAGTCGAACGCAAGGATGTTAGAAGGTGGTTTCGACAGGCTGTGAAAGAAACTCACCCGGACAAACTCGGCGGTTCTATCGATGAGTTCAACAAGGTAATGTGGGCATACATCACGCTTGATCGGTTTTTCGACAATGTGGACGAAGGAAGCAGTGTAACTTCCACTCATGGGCACACATTCCAGCAGCAGCTCAATACGCGTGATATGCTATTTAGTGAGAGTGATGACACATATTTCCACCAGTGCCGTTGCGGAGACATTGTTGAAGTGCCTGTGTTGACTATCGCTCTGGGCGTGACACATTACACTTGCGAGACCTGTTCATTGGTTTACACCGTTAAACACGAATAACAGTAGTATATTATGCTTATTAGCATTGCATGTTGCGACTATATGTGCACGAAGCTTGTTCGTGAGCTACTCGTTCGCCGGTTCGTCCCTGACGACACGGTGAACAAAGTGCGGGTTGTGCCCCGAGGCCTCGGTTGAGAATGGAGACTGAGAACAGATGACACCCGGTGCTGTGCATTCGTTAATCTCACGCATGAGCACCCGGTCGGTCACCTCGCCCTTCAGATACCTGGAAAGCATACGCGGTCCATACACGTGCATATATCGCTCTCGCCAACGCGTGTATAAAAGGTGCGTCCATTTGCGCAGAAGCCTAGGTGGACACGATTCAGTACTATTGCACCACTTTATAATCTTTTCGCGTGCTACTTTGCTCGCGAAATCGGCGATATCCGGCGCGTGTTTATCCCACTCAGCAGCGTTTGCGTCTCGGGCCTCGCGGAAGGTAATGTACAGTTTGTCAAAGGCATCCCATGATATGCCATGACTCGAACTTGACCGCCACAGTTCCTGCAGCCGTGGTTTGCAGTAACCGCTGGTGGAAGCTCGGAAGCGTTTTAAGAGTGGATTGGGCCACAAGGGTCCTTCACCCCCTGCGGAGACCTCTTTCTCCGCATTAGCAACGGTGTCCGTGTTTATGCCATACCTTTTACACAAGTGTGTTACCAAATTATCAACAGACGCGGAGTCTACCTCCCTGGGGTTGGTGCGCTTGATGGTAACTCTGGGTTCGAAATGACGAACGCAAATAAAGCGCTGCAGGTGCGGAGGTACCGCTGTCTCGTCAACTTCGATGGGTACGGGTTTTTCAACACGCCTCTCGCACTTTGATGTACCAAACCACCGCTTCTGTGTCGATGGGTTAACATCATACATGTCGTTTTTTAACCAAGCGTACGTTAGACGGGCAAACGGCGGCAATCCCAATAACGGGTCTGTCGACACGTTTCGTTTCAACGGCCTGTATAACATCTTTTGTACAGCTATTTTCATCAGCACTAATCGCCTTTAGGTCTCTCTTAGCAGGTGTATCTTGTTTATCTTCGGTGCGGCGGGGTTCAGTCGTCTGAGGTTTTGGTGCTACAGGAGACCCGAAGAACGAGTTAAGGGACAGTTGTGCCTTTTTCGTTTTTGCCTTGATAAGCCGTTCTATGATTTTGTTAACACGTTCTTCGGCGAAGTTGTTTTGCACGACTAGAAAGTCCTTCAGACCTTCAACATCAACCTCGCCACGTGGTATCTGTTCAATATGTTTGACTTTTGGGTTACGAAAGTATTGTTGTGCAATTTCGTATCCTTCTAAACTTTCTGACTTGACCTCTAGAATTTTTGCGATGTTTTTATACTTGCATATCAAATTGTATGCCGTCTGCACGATTTACCCAACGACCAACTTTAGAGTGTGCCGCAGTAGTCACATCCACACAATATACAGAAGTCTGTGAACTCTTCGTGGCTTAGTTTGAGGAGTTGAAGGACCTTTGGTAATTCGACCTTAACGATCTTTTTGTTGCTGGCGGTAAGATTCTTCAAGAGTGTTCCACAACCGAACACCAAAGCATCAGCGTCTTCCGTAGCAACGGCATCAGCCAGACCCTGTTTGACTAAATATGCGCACTGAGCTTCCGCTTCTTCTTCAGCCTCAACAACTGGCACTCCCATCAAACGCAATAGTTGTTTTGCGCTATCGTTTTCCTGCTTCGAGATGTGAACAGTTCTTCCGACGTATTTTTTAATGGCTTCCTTATCATCACTTTCTTTGGCCTGTGCCAGTGCAGCTTCGGCTTCCTGCCTCAACTCCTTTCTCTTTGCGAGCGTTTGTAGTTTAGCTTCTGGCGGTGTTGAATCGAATACGAAAATAGGTTTAATACCCGTTTCTAATAGTTTTAGAGACCTGTTAATCAATCCTGCGATATGTGATGTTGATTCTCCCTTTTCGTTATGGAGGGATGATAGGTAGCTTCCTTCTCGTATGGCGATCGTAAACTGGTATAGCGCCGTTGAAGCATCGATTGCGACTGTTGTGCCCGATAAGCTATCCAAAGAGACATCACTGAGCGCACCGGGCGCCGTTTCACTTAGAAATCCAATGAGCCCCTTGATACCCATGAGCGCAAGTTATGTCTTGCCTTTGTTGGATAAGTCTCTCGGTGAAGCGAAAACCTTATATCAATCCTAGATATTATTGATGCATCAAATTTGAACAATTGCCTCAGGGCACTGTTATTGGGTCACTGAATATCTATGTATGGGCAAACAAAATACACACCTGTGTGTGTTTTGGCCTTTCCTGCTGACAAATATTACATCGGGTCCTGCGCGCCCAGTTTGCATTTCCACAACTGTGCCATATGAGTTATTTGTGATGACAGCTCACTGTTTGCAAATCCAATCATGAAAATTACGCTGTGTGGTTGGTTGTGTGTTTAAGCGCTGCCCTGCGGGAGTATGAGCATACACATTTCTCGCGACATACCATGCCATCGTGCGACGCCACAATGATTACAAAACAGATCCTTTGGTAAATTAACGTGGGCGCACCTAAACGAAAATATAGATTAAAATGTGGACGTCCGCATTGGCCTAAACCGTGGCTTCTGCTTTAAAATAAAACTCACTCGCTCATATGACAGATCCATTGGCCCGGTTTCATTTCCATGGTAATGTATAATTCGTTATTTTGATGTTACACACCGCTTTACTTCTCAATGTTCAATATTGTTATGCACTATAGAAATGTCATATAGACACCGTTTTTAGCTAAGCGGTGTCCCTCAAGCATCGCTGCCAATGGTCTAAGTATTTATGTGCTTCAAAATTTGAGCGTCGCAGCGTGACGTTGTACTGCGGATCTCGTTTTATCGTTGAACATGCGGTACTGCGACGCGAATGTGTACACATTATCGCATGGTTAAAACAATGCGACAACTAGACACATTTGTATATACTTACATACTAACGTTTCGTGTGGTGAATGCATATCGCATCACACGGTCGCGTTGCCTAATGAGTCGCACGGGTGATTTAACGCTAACAGCGTTGCTGTTACACATCCTTGACGTTTCAACATGTTAATTTACATGCGTCCATGTGATCGGTCGTACATTTAGTTTGGGACATTGTTATACCAGTATATATGTTTACTCGTCCTTCTGCCGTATATAGACGTGAAGATGGCTGTCTACAAACTTTGCCACTCGACCTGGATCAGGGAGCCTCAGGTGATAGAAACCAGACCAGTTGTCGAGACTACCGTGTACCACGAATCCCCAAGAATTCGGATCACCCACCGCGTAGCTCAACGAAACTGTTGTTGGTGCTCGGGGGATGTAGATGAATATGTGGTATTTAAACCACACTGTGGATCAACCAACATTTACATTTGAATCTTATTCACCGATGTGGCCTTTTACGTATTGTGGTAATTTGCTGGGCACCTAATCGTGCGCTCCAGCATATTAGACAGCTGTGTATGATTTGTGTTCATCATCTTCATCAACTGTTCATCCTTACAGGTGCAAGCAAGGGATATTTCTCGAGGATGCTGATCGAGATGTGGCCTATAGAAGCCACGCCAATGCTACACACAAGACCTTCCCCATACCCATCGCGACGGTTGCACATTACACCTTCAACTGGGTTTCGTCAATGCGAAGAACTGCTACGATGTGTAAACCTTCAAGATAACCAACAAGAAGCCCATTACATTGACATCCGGTACTCCCAGGAGACTTCACTGCCCTGGGCAATATGGCTGACCCCGCACCGGATGGCGGCGATTCGGACATGCGTCCCCGTAAATATGGCAGTGTATCTAGTGAAGAGCTAGCGACATTGTACGACGAACTGCCCCAGTCAAGGGGCGACACACAAGGTGCCGATGTACCTGCTACTGCACCTGAAGTGAACTCGGCGGATCAACCAAATAATAATACGGCGGAAAACGAGTATACGAATGGTGAGGAAGATGCTCCTATGGAGCCGAATGAAGGTGTAATGCACTCAGAGGTGAACGACGGCCCTGTTATGCATCAGGATGACCAGTATTTGGACACTTCAGCACGTGGTCCACCTACATTCGGTGATTCAGATAGGGGTTTGCTACGCGGGTTTGCAGACGAAGCAATGACGCAACACGCCTTCAACGACGCCCCTAATAATTACGTGGTGGTCAGAAATGTTGGACCGCACGCGCAAAATGCTACATTGAGCTTTGGTTATGATGAACAGCAACACATTTGGACTCAATACGATGATGTCATCGACACAGTTAACTATTATATGCCTGTGCTGCCCCCTCAACCACAAAATGATCGCAGTACCCCCCGAGGTTATGATCGCCGTGGCAAGAGATATGGATCCATAGTCAGCAACATGGGTGGCGACACCACGGCATCCACTCACAGCAGGTTTACAGATAACGATGAAACAACCCGTGAAAGCAAACACTTCAGCACAGAAGAACGTACCCCTTCGGTAACATCGAGCGCAGGGGCACGACAAACGGGATCCCGTCAAGGGCACACGCATCGCGTATCGAGACGAAAGGCATCACGAGAAACTGATGATGCCGAATGGTCAGCTTCAAGTTCAGAAAGCCAGGAATCGACGCGCAGGGGTGGTCTATTTGAGGTTCCATTCAATATTTGTTCCATGCCTCGTATAATTGATCCGTTTAAAGGATTTTCAAAGGTATACACGCCTCGTGCAGTAAAACTGTTGCACTTTGTTCATAATGGCCACCGTACGTTATGTAGCATCGACAAGACTGCGGCTACACTGCTCCAAACAAACGTTAAAGACTTAAAGGTTGTGTCTATTAGCGTTTGCGGGGACGGGAGAACTGGTAAAAGTTATCTTGCAAGCATGTTGGTTAACAAGCCTGTCAACTCTTTCAGATGTGCCGAACCTTACACTGCTACCGATATGATGAACCAGTTTCATAGTCCAGCCGAGGGCGATGTATGGTTATACGTCGGCGTGTACCAGGAAAAATATGCTTACATATACCTTGACTTCAATGGTTTCGATAACCATCAAGAAGAGCGCACTCACATGATAACCTTTGCCCTTCTATTGAGCAACTGTGTGATATGTAGCATCGCAAATCCTCCGCGGACGGGTATATACGATACGGTGCGTGCGATGATCGACGTTACAAAGAGTGAGCACTCAAGTTTCGATGCAGACGTCTTCGGGTTGGATATGGAACAGACCGCAGAGGATTTCAAACACAAGGCGTCTCTACTACTAGATAAGGGTAACTCATTCTCTCGATCTTTCGATTCTAAGGATATCGATGGCAGCGTGGAGGATCGTACCGACTTGTCATCCGTAGTTGATGAGTCGGATGTTTGGAAAGCCCCTATAGTACACTTTGTTTTCAGAGATAGTGAGGGTCATGTAAAATGTGTTGACGAACGTATCTACACTCCAGAAACGCTTGTTGAGCAGGGAATATTTGACCACTACACCAATCTTTTCAACTGCAACCGCAAAGATAGGTTGATCGACTTTAAGAACGACATGTTAGATGCTTTTGAAATCTTTCTAAATAGGAAATACACCACCTTACCATGTCCTGTGGTTGCACCGTCGTCAAACAAATTCCATCGATCCGCTGCGGCGAATGCGAAGGACGCACTGAAGAGGATGTTTGCAGCACTATTAGCTCCAGCTAATGCGGATATAATGTCAACTGATGTGGGTGAGTGTTCTACCTCCCGTTTCATCGGAGCGGATACACCTAGTGGACAGCCATGTGTTACTGCTATACCCAACCACATGCTGAATCCTCTTTTCTGTGAGCGTCTGGATGAGATAAAGGTTTGTGTGTATCAAGACACTCTCGCTCACACGCAATCGGATATGCAGCTTAACGGCCGCATGTTCGTGAACTATCTGAAGCTCCTGGTCACACACTTTAATACACATGGTTGTGTGAAGGTTCGGGATGCTAAGGCGATGCTCCGTGATGTGTATGTCAAGGAGAATGAGAGCATCAGCAAAGATGTTGTTGTGGAGTTTTTTAAGGGTCTGAAGAACCACGTCGTGATGCAGCTGCCGATGGAGCCTAGGGTCTTATTTTCTCGGTGTATGCGCCTGAAGCAGAAAAGCCTTCAGAAGTTCCAAAAGCATGTTTTCGGTCCACATGCTCAATATGTTGAACAACAGAACTCGCTAGAGAAATCTCTGGATGGTCTCATCGAGAAGCTCGAAAAGAGAAATGACAAGATAGCTGTTGATACCGCTACTGCTATGTTTGAGAAGTGTGCCAAAAGCCTTGAAGAGAAAATGGCTTCGGAGCATTACACGTACGAGGAACTGCTCGTTGACATTGCCAAAATGCGCAAGATGTTTTTGCAGAAGTTCAAGGGTCACAGCCAGGTCACAGAAAGGGTCTTCCCTCAGCTGTCGCAGCAACTTTATCGTTCATTCGACGAGCTTCACCCAAAGACGCTGACTCCCAATATCACGGAGATATCTAAGCGTTACGGGGAATCATAATATTTTAATTTGAGCGTGTAATTTAAGGGCTCGCAGACTCCTTAAGTTAGGCTGCGCATGTCACATTTTAAAGTATCGCGAACTCACATAATAGCCACAGTCACCAACAAATGACGTTCATTGCAACATGTCTATGGTAATAACAGACTGCCATTAATATGTAGTAATTAAATTTGACTTGAGTTTGACGTCTGTGTGAGGGGGCCTACGCAGTCACATGGTGCAGCGTAAGCGTCTTCTCCGCGGACCATATAGAGCGGCTACGAATCGCATTTTGTTGGGGTTACGATTGTACCCTTCCACACGCAGATACGAGTTTTGGTGGCATATGCTTGCATACGAACGATTTTACGGTTCAATGAATCCATATATGGTCCCGTATTTTCCACGTATCCAGTATCGTTAGTATGACAACCCAGAATTCAGTGCGAACCGTGTTTTCTGTACCATTCTTCGAAAGAAGCATGATCCATTGCGGCATAAGATGGATGTACTCGCTGCAGGGCACGAGTAAAATCGTTCATTATTATATCCCTAAAGACGCTAACGTCCGGGACGTTTTCTATTCCTCCATAAGCCTCCACAGTGTCATCATATGAGTACTCTGCCGCTTTAGTACACAAAGCTAGCAGGTCACTGCCGTTCCATCCCTCTGTGGATGCCGCGAGTTCTTCTAATTCTTTATCCGTGAGTTCACACTTACCCTTCCAGTTCTTTCGGAGCGTATCGTAGATAAATTTTTTCCGTATGGAGCTGTCAGGTAGAGGGATAAGTATACGTTTAGCAAACCTCCTAAGAGCAGCGTCATCTAACATCATGGGTCGGTTTGTCGCAGCTATGACAACCACAACTCCCTCGCTATTGCTACAATGTAAGCCGTCCATCATTTGAAGCAACTGATTCTTCATTCGGATGGAAAGATCGGGTTCATTTCCCGTTCTCTTACTGAGTAGTGCGTCTACTTCGTCAAAGAAGATGATAGACGGATGATCCAAGTCGGCCACTTTGAATAGAGCTTTGATTATAGATTCAGTTTCCCCATGGTACTTGCTGGTTATAGAGCTGGGGGAGACTTCGAAACAAGTCGCCCCTGAGATTTTTGCAACCCACTTCGTAAGGGTAGTCTTCCCTGTTCCAGGCGGGCCAAACAGCAATAACCCTTTTGGAGCCCTAAGCAGCCCTGTATGCAGTTCAGGCCTAAGTATAGGTTGTACTACTTTGTCCTTAAGTGTCTTCTTGACATCGTCTAGCCCTGCGATTTCATCCTCCGTTATGTTGTACATGCCAGCATCCACTCTCATGTCAAGGGCAATACTGATAATTTCGGCGGTGATGTCTGCACTAACCAGTGGCATATATCGTTCGGGTATTACCGTTTGTTGGTTACTACGACCTTCACCTGCGAATATGCTCGTTTTATTTGAATTTTGTTTTTGTGGGTGACTCAATCCACACGTTTTCCTCAGCTTATCTATGTCAATTTCCGGAGGCGCCTCTCCATCCTCACAACGCTTGGCCAAAAAATCCATCCCAGTTTTGAAACCTCCATCATCTTCGACAGGTCTTTTAGCATTCTTGAAACTTCCACGGGAATTTTTTGTAGCTCCACGGACGGGCGGTTTCGATTGTGAAATCATGCGTTGTCGTTTGCCGACGACATTTGCACTGTCTATACCGCGCTCCGGCGTATCATTGGCACTACTGATGCTTGCAAGTGTTTTGACCTCGAATGGCGGAGGTTGTACCGTTTTTTCCCTTTCGTCGTCTCTGTTTACTTCCTGAGCGACAATTGGTGCCGATGTACAAGCAACACCCTGCGATGTCTCCTTATTGTTTGTTTTTAAAGGCTGTTTCGGTTGAATAGCTTTTGATTGGCATGTTTGTGACGATTTAGGGGCATTTCCTGTAGTTTTTGACGGTCTTACGTCTAGCGCGGAAGCCGACGTGGTGTTAGAGGCCACCCCTGCCTTGGCGTTTCCCGTAGCTGTTACATTAGCTCTTTGTCCACGATTCCGCTGATTTGTATTATTCTTCGACAATCTCCCTTCTCCCTTCTTTAGTATATACCGTCTGGATGCATTTTTTAAAGGTATATCACCAACGAATGATTGCCCATCGTAAAAATTCTTGAGGCTTTGCCTCCTAAAAGCCGTTGACGTACAATGACCAGCTGCAGGTGCTTTTCCAGTTGCATTATCATATATGCTCCTATATTTATTTCTCCTGGATGTTACATGAGAAAATTCATTGCTAATTTCGCCGACAGTTTGACCGATTGAAAGCATGATCTTTTCCTCGAACTGATGTACAAGAGCTCTTACAGTATCATATATTGTTTCTGCATGGTGTTCGCCGACATTAGGGTCACCGCGTTGCCTTGCTTCTTCTAGTAAAAGATCAGTGTATCGGAAAGCATATTCCACTGGTAGCCGGTCGTTGAGCGCTTCAGCAACGACCTGGAGTGAGATAAGGGTGTTACATTTCCTCCTAACTTACCTGAATACCTATGTTCTCCATTTTAATATGCTAATCGTTCGGACTTGATATCAAGAAGGGCTATGTAACATGATTATTCGCGAGTGGCGCAGCTTTGTGGTTATTAGGTTGATTCTACATTCATCTCCGGCTAGTACCGATTTCTATATTGGTTATTCTGGAGTTAATCGTATAGTAGGTTGTTATTTTGAATAACAAAAGTTTACACATCGCCAATTTTGGCGTCCCCATTACGATTCTATCTACTGTTGTCGTAAAGGTAGAAAAACGGCGTTTTAGATCTCCATATGCATTCGTCGTATGCAAATGCGTTTTTATTAACGGGTGATCGAACATACATGCTTCTATTTGCATGTCTACGTCACCAAACTGGGCATGTGATTTCGACACACTGGGCGCCGCAACACCATGCGCTATCGAATAACATTAAAGAATCTTTTGGATATTGAAAAATATTGCGGATAATGCCAGATGTTGGTTACAATGTATACGTGTGAGCCACAGCAGCAAGATTTCTCCGCCCTATAACATCCTGGGCACGGCACATGTTTAAATTGGCTCATTGGAACACCTGACTACGAGAACTACACAACGATTCGTTTTAGGATGGTACTGTAAGCGTGAATCTTGCATTAAGTTGAGTAAAAAATATCCAATATATGCGTACGTACACACACCGGAGGTGCCTGTTACGTCTACCACACGGATACACATCGGCTGTATGATCGGACGGTTGAATCATCATCCCCTCGCAACTTCATACATACTGTTGATGATTATCGCCGCTTAATAGGCAGTTGGATCTAAGAAAGGCAGTTGTTTCTAATTTTTTACGACATATACATGTGAAGATGGAATCGGTATCACAAGTTCGCAAGCCTTCAGAGGCCTACGAAGTAGCGCTTTCGGTTGGTGAATCAAAAGTATCCTGCCCAATTTATGCGCTGTTTTTGAAAGCGGTGATGGGTGGTTACTTCGCAGCGTTAGGAGGTCACGCGGCAATGGTATTGGCATCGTATTTCTACAAAGAGCAACAAGTTGCGGCTTCTAAACTGGCATTCGGTGTTATATTTTCAGGGGCACTCGTATGTATCATGTTCGCCGGCGCCGACCTAGTGACCAGCAATTGCATGAACTTTGCACTGCTTGCACTCAGCAGGAGAGTCACACCAATGCAGTACGCTACTAGGATGCTAACATCCTTATTTGGTAACTACGTCGGGGCTCTACTTGGAGCCTTAATGTTGACTGGTGGCACTGGATTTTTCATGAAGACCAATGATCACGCTACAGACTATCTCAAGGCCGTTTATGATTTCAAGGTGTCCCTTCCTTTTTGGCGTGTTATATTCAGTGCTATAGGATGTAACAGCTATGTATGCATGGCGGTTTGGTCGTGCTACGTCACTCTGGATTCCTCAGGACAAATTATAGCTACCGTCTTGCTCATATCCAGTTTCGCCGTTGCGGGATTCGAACACATTGTTGCCAACTTCTACACACTCCATGCAGCGCTGATATCGTGTCCTGAAACATCTATACTCACTGTGTATGGAACGAATCTAGCTCCAACTTTCATTGGGAACTACATCGCAGGATCATTTGTAATAGGATTGCCGATGTTTTTGTTATACGGATCGCGCAAGAGCGATAGTATTGTACAGCAAGTCCGCACCACTGTGGTTTGAGAATATGTGCGTTTTAGCATCTCGGCCTTCCGGCGATTCTACGGCAACATCGGAGCGATGCGGCACACTTGGAGCAACCTGTGAGCACGAGGACATTGCGGATGCTGCACCTCACAAACCTTTTACTTATTAATTATTCACTTAGTGTGACTTTGTGGTTCAAAGCATATTTCACAATATATATAAAGATGATACGTTGCCGCACATTGTAGCTCGGAGCGCTGGTATACGGTGAGGTTTGGCCGGTCCGCCGATTCTAATGCAGCTGTTGCCCGAGTTTGTTTTACACAATGACTCGGGCTGGCAAGAAACGTGAAGATCGCAAGGTGCGTTCGTCGGATTTCGCCATGTATCAACTGGCGGAATCCAGACCAACGGGCTTGCATCATATTTTTGATGCGTTTCGACAGGATTCTCCAACCAAAAATACAGCTGACACACTGTCATCGCCCTCTTCTGATGGTACATCATCTGCTTTTTCAGTGTCGCGACTTGAAATACTCAAAGCTCTTGACAAACTTACCAAGAAAGACAGTACAACCAAACTGAAGGCGCTAGAGCAACTCATGTCAGCTGTGGAAAGTGTCCCTCATGAAGTGTTAGAGCGTTTGATACCCGATTTTGCCCATGTCTTCCTGCGACTAGCAGTTGTGGAACCGTCTAGGAAGATAAGGTTCACTTTGGGTCAGGTACTCCGTAACATCGCGACGTCGCTTAAACGCAGAATTCAATCCCACATCAATATTCTCGTGACACACTGGTGGATAGCTATGCACGATGAGGCCGCGGATGTTGCAGAATTATACACCGATGCCTTTAACTGCCTTTTCGAATCGCAAGTGACAACGCGGGCAGAGCTCGATCGGAAAACGTTTCGTGTTCTTACGCATTATATTCGTAATATTGCGAACACTACCATGACTATGATAAATAGGCATATAGATGACTATAAGCGTGAATGGATGGACGTTTTTGGCAAAATATGTGAGAACTGCGCAACTATTTCTGACATGCATAACAGGCTAATATGCTCAGTGCTGAGATCACTAATGACAATTATGACATACCAACGCTTATATGGGTCGGAGGGAGGCCAAGATGGGTTCCCAGTCTCTGTTTTTATCAACGAAGAGTTCGTACATAGAATAGGTTCACTGTGCCGCAGCACTGCAATAAAGCAGCGTTTTGCTAGCACGCGCCTCCTAGTCGAATTTGTGAAAGTATTGCGCGATGAAGATTTCGACGTTGGAAGAGAGGCTTTCAGTGTTGCTATGTACCTTCTTCACGAAGCTGAGGAAGCCACAATCACCTTCCATCGTATTCGCCTGTTATGTGCGTGCTCTCGCTACAACAGTGCATTCTGGGAACCGCAGCATTTGAAAAAATATGTACCGTTTGTAAAAGGTATACTGGACCGATATACAGGAGACTTCTCGGCGATGACCGAGTTATATTCGGTATTCCCGTGTATGGTTTCATATCTGCCCAAAGAATGGTTACATTCTCCTACGGGTGTACAAGCTGTTATCGAGGTTACCACTAACCTTCTGCAGCTAATGCAGGACAAGGTTAATGCAAATTACGAGCAATCATTCGGTTTCGATTCGAAAGCTTTCAGCCAAATGGGCAGCAGTATGTTGTACTGTTACTACCGCATACTTCTCTTGCCGGAAAGCAGCTTCGAGTCACTTGTCGACCACATATTCGCGCCTATCTTGCACTTAACATGCGAAGATTCATCTTATGCTAAACATTTTCTCCTTCATTTGCCTCGTATCTTCACAGAATTCATCGAAGAATCAGCAATTTTGCAGGACGCAGGGACATCTGACGTGTTGCTTGAGAAGCTAACTCAGATGTATGACAAGAAGACTAATTGCGTCTTTATGACCCACATATTCGGGTTCTTAGCAAAGATGAACGGGGTTGAATCAGAAAACGGCCAACTTGCAAAAGTAAGGTCTTATGCTCAACGTGCAGGGCAAGATTTGAAGATGCACATTATGCATCAGGAATTGCCACGTGTGCTACAAGAGTTCATGATGCAACCATGTTTGTCTTCATGTGCCACGCCTGTAGAGGATATATTAACTGTTCTGAGCGACGTCGAATCCGTGCCTCAGCAGTCTAGCATTTTAGAGGCCCCAACCTTCTTGATGTCCAACGTCTACGACGATGAGCGTGAATTCAGGACCGCATTCGATATCGTGACTCGTATACTGCAATTACTGAAACCGGTATTGGAAGATCCGGAAAAGTATTACACGGATGAGAGTGATGCAAACACAATTTTGCTAGTTTCACTAGTTGCGTTGCGTAACTGCGATTCCGAAAAAGATGCAGTAACGATAGGCCGCAGAGTATTTACACGCCATATGGATCTGGATCATGGCAATGGTATGACTGTTTTTTTGAAATTCATTCACGAGTGCCAACGCTTTTCCGGACCACTATCAGCTTTGATTCTCTCATGGCTCTCACACCCTGAGCATATTCGGGCTGAAACATGCGAAAATGTTTATTTATTGATCGATGGCACGTTGCTTGATGAAGTGGATGCACCCCTGTACGATATTTTTTACATGGCCTACCATCTTGTGAAGAAATATCAATGCAAGCGACGTCCCTTGAAATGCGATGACATGGTGGATGATATGGTTGCTCTGTATCTTGTAGGCTATTACTGTAATTTGCCGATCGAGTTGGATACGTTCCTCAAATTCTGTTTGACGCTACTGCCAATATGGAAACAGGGTAGTACTGCCGCAGACGATCTTCATATAATCTCATTTTTGCATTATTTACAGTCAGAGCGTGAGCCTCATGAGGATTTGACGAATGGTTGGGAACATGTTTACCCAATTAAGGAGCTTGTCAATGTTATTTTAGAGATGCAAGACAACCCCTTTAGATCTACAAGGTCTATCTCACGTACACTATCTGCTCTCACCACAGTTCTAGATGTAGACGGTTCTGTTCTATATCATAGAAATGCGCTTTTATTCTCTAACGTATGGTTGATTAACTGCGAAAAATGGCTTCTGCCTCAAGTAGTGATGGACAAATGCCATGATGGATCTGTCGAAAGTAGTTTGGAGCCGAATCCATCGACTGACGATGCAACCGCTAGCATCAAATGCTTCGCTGAGGTGTTTGTATCCACTTTCTTGAACAATGGGTTCAGTGTTGCTTCGTTCGAAAGCCTGGCTGATGAACTAGGTAAAGACCTTCGTTGTACGGGTGTCATAACGGAGTCATTTGCGCGGCACGTATGTTCCACTTCATGGGCATCTAAGTTTGAATATGACAAGAACCTCCGGTTATTCACTCTCTACCTCTCAAAATTGAAGTGCTACGACACCGTAATGGCGTTTTTCAAACAGCATTATACATCAAACCAATTTATGGGAGGTTTCGTTGCTGCGATAAATCGCGTATTAAATGTTCCAGTGACCCTTGTAGACGATATTTGTCAGATAATGGAGTCATGCGGCGAGAATGACACAGCTCTATTGACCAACTGTATGCTGGAACTGGGACAGCTCCTTGCTAGTGTGGTCACCATCACCAACTGTGGTTATAAGTTGAAGGACATTGAGGATCGACCTTATCTTACATTACAAATGGAGTCCTTGCCCCAACGGTTATTTCAGCGTTTTGCAGCGATTAGGTGTACCGACTCTGTGTCGAAGTGTTGGCTACATTATGCCTTTATGGGTTTCCTGCGTTCACGTGTCTGCATTGTGCAAGCTATATCAGGCGACTTAGGCACGTTTTTGAATAGGTTTGTTGGTGGATGGATGATGAATGTGTTAAGCTTCTGTTACCAGGAACTTGAAGTGCCTCATCATCTGGTAATTACACTTTTTGCTGACGCTTTGCACTTCTTTTTGTCTAATAATGCCGTTTCATTTGATGATTTGAGGTTGTACCCTTCATCCTATGAGTTTTCGACGTCAAGCCTGCGCGAGTACGTTGGCGTTCTGGAAGCGCTATCGAAAGATGTTATGGCACGTATCGCAACAGAAAATTCACAGACTACACCGTTGGAGCCTGTTGATGTGCACTATTTGGTAGTAATGCTGGTTCACGTTGTGGAGTCCGTGGACGCTTACGTTACAACCAATGGCCCAGATTCCGAGCATGTAAGGGATGCTGCAAAATCTTTGCAGTCGGCATGCTACGAGTTTTTAAGGTTCATATCTAAAAGTCAATCATGCTATATGTATGTGGTATCTTTTGTTTCAAGGCTTTGGCACGTCAGGTTCCTATTTTCAAACATCTCCGACTACGGCGGCGTCCTGTGTAAAATGGACCTTGAAAACAACGGAGTGTATCTCTCGATACCCATCGACTCCGTATCATTTGCATTAGCAAATGGTTTGGGGAAATTTGGTGCTGCAGGGAATGTGCCAGTTGACATGTCACAGCTTCTTTACCATTTGTTACAGGATCCAGACACAGGCGAACTCGATAAGGAGACTACATCTGAACTGGAAGAGCTCCCTAGCGCCCAAACTCATGAGATATATGCAAAGAACGGGAGTTCTGCCATATCCTTTTGCCTCAACGTTATTTTGGGGCCACACATTACAAGTGCATTGTTCAGCACTTACGATGTGCTTCTTTCGTCATCTGACCACCGTGACCTTGAGCTGTGTTTAACGGCCTGGCTGAGCGCGATAGTGTTATTGCAGGATGCAGCCGAATCCAAAATGTTCACTTTAAAGAACGCCCTTGCGATGTTATTGAAAGTGAGGCCTACGGACGCTGGCGGTGACTTGTTCGATACGCTTTTGACTCACCTGTCCACTGCTGCGTATACCGATAAAGAATATGTAAACGCGTGGTGGATGACAGATGCGCCACAGCTACCAGAACATACGGACGAACCTGCATTGTACGTACTGCTGCAAGTACTTCTGTTGTGTTTGGAGAACTTGCCCCTTCACGATGAGCACCACCAAAACCTCATCAAAAGGTTGTATTACAAGGTCGCCAAGATGTTCCCAGAAGAGGTAAACCATGTTTGGAACGTATGCAAAAGTCCATATGTGAAGAAACAGATCAGAGAGTTTACTAAAAACGAGATAACACAGCGTCTCATCGCTGATGAGCTGCTACTCATCAAGAAGGACATGTCGAGTGCGTTGCGCGTGACTCACGACGCTGATTACCGCAATGTTTACGTAGCACTGGAGACCAAAGCGGAAGTTGCTGTCAACCTAACCGTGAAAATACCATCGGCGTTTCCCTTGGAACCACTATCGTTTGCATCAAACGATGTGTCCGGTACTTTTAAAAATAAGCACCTCCGATGGTTGATGATGGCTCAAAGTGCGGCTAACAGGTGTGGTATAGTACAAGGTCTGTTACTGTGGAGCGACAATATCACGAAGTTCTTCGACGGCATTGAGGAGTGTCCGATTTGCTATTCGATCGTACACTTACAGTTCAACTCTATACCTAGCAAGACCTGCAAAGTTTGCAAGCACAAGTTCCACACGGAATGTCTGTATAAGTAGGTTTTAAAATGTTTTTGAAATATTTCATTCAGGTGGTTCCGCAACGCGCCGAAGGCTAAATGTCCACTTTGTCAATCGTTGCTATCTTTTACTGGCTGCAACTGACTGCGGCATTGGCCGTTGGAGGTACGAGGGTTCGTGCGCTACGTCTGTATTCCAGATATAGTCACGGCTATGTCTTCGACATTGAAACTGGGGTACGTACCGCCGCCGCAGCTTGGGGCGGTTACGCGCGTTTCTCGGTGACCGATCACTTATATTTTTTAAAAATGGCACACACTGATAATTTCTTTTCACGTAGCCGTCTGTGGACGGCCGCGAGCCTCCTCGATTTCACCCCTTTGACGCCTGCACAGAAGGAGCACTTGACTAAGGTGTATGCCGCCTTGGCCATTTGCTCTTTAATCACATTCGCCGGAGCTGCAGTGTCCCCTAGATACATTAACTTTCACCCTATGTTGTTGTTTGGATGTTTCCTTGGTTCGCTTCTCTACGTTACTTTCAGCGCGCCGAGAATCGGGTCTCGTGACAAGGTGGGCCTTCAATTTCCATATATTTTATAATATTCTGCAGCCAACTAACTTCAAGCGTTTGGGAGCGGCGGCCGTGATGTCGTTTAGCCAAGGACTGTTGATGCGTGAGGTCGTACGATTCATGCTTTATCTGAACCCAGGTACGTGGAACCCGCCAATCATACATATCAGCTATAGAAATCATCACAACGGCACTTTTCTCTACCATTGCAATCTTCTCTTGCTTCTCTCTTGGGTCACTGTTCATGTCGTCAAGATTGGCCCTATACCTTGGTGGTTTGGCATTCTCTCTATCGGTTTATGTATCAATGGTTCGCTTCACCAACATCTTCATCCGATCACGTTTCGCAAGTGACTTTAGTGATATTGCTATGCTAGTCGCCTTCTGTGGGTATGTTAAGCTTATATTATTGGCGTTACGATGTCCATAGGTTCGTCATATTCGACACTCAAGTTACCCTCCGCGACTTCAACAACGGCTCGCGTGATTACTTATCTCATGCTGTCATGCTCTACGGCGATGTAATCAACATCTTCATGAAGATTACCAATATATTGTACGAAAAAGAGAAAAAGAAGGACAAGAAAGCTGAGCCTCGACCTCTTTTCTAAAAAAGTGAAACTACTGTACTTAATGCATAGCTAAATTTGAGTGCTATATTTGTGAAAGCCGTGTATTTTCGGGGGGATAGAAGTTGGCGTTATGTGTGCCGGACGGCCAAGGTGTTGAACGGCGCTGAACGGACCATTGCCGCTTTCGCCATGGCTTACACCCATGATTGTTTAAATGTACACATGTAAGCACATCGGTAGAAATGGGATTTTGCCGCAGTTCGATACTGATACCACAAAAACGACTCACCATCTCTAACTAGCCACCACGTAATTTCGGCTTGAAAAAGGACCCACATTTGTGAATATTTTTGTGTGCTACCATTTAGTTGTACGTAGCTGTGTTTCTAGGCAGCTATTATCGGGGGAAAGAGAACGCCGATGGTGGTTGCAGATTCCACGCGCAGCGCAACACGAATTTCAATATAGCTACCCCAGTCTACATCTATCAGACTATAAAAATTGAAATTTGTACATGTTGTAATTAATCTCAAGGATCTACCATTTGGGATGCTGAACTCTTGTACGTACCTCTGAGCGTTGAAAACCGCCAGTTAAACCCTTGAATTTCAACATCAACGCACGAGAATCCTGATATATACAGGAGCCACATGGACCAATGCATTGTAGGTACACAGTGCCCTGTCTATCCTCTATAATCCGCATATCGCCCACTACCTGCCGGCTTCCTATCCGAAAACCGGCAAAGCCGGCGAAGGAAAAGGACAAGAAACGAGTTCAAACAACCGTAGGGATTACAAGGTACGTGCCATACATACCACCAGCACTTGTAAGTGATACTGTTGGTGCACTGAAGGACCGAGAGTCATTGGCAGAAGTGCTTGACCTGATCTGCAGTCCTATTCAACCAGCGGATAACGAACAGGACCGAAAACTCTACCAACGAGTAGCAGAGGCATATCGAACATTCAAGGAGGTTCTGAATGAGAAATTCGCTGAAAGAGAAATCCAAATACGGGACAACATATTCGAGGCAATTCACAACCTACCCGAACATCTTTACGACGAAGCTGTTAGATCAGAGTCCGATCCCATGCCAGAATCCCTTGCATTCCATCATACATTCCGAACGCAACTTATAGACAACGAACTATCAGACTTCGAGATCGCTAAATTAGATGCATACCGCTTGCTCATGTACTTAAGGTTCCCATACTTGGACATTAAGGCAAGGCAACCGGGGCTATTTTGGCTTGAAGAAAAGAAGGCGATATCACGCCAGAAACAGGCGTCAATGGCTGCAAGAAAGAGGAATACAAAGTGAATTACTGGCGTACGATAACAGCTACGGACGAGATAAACACAAAACCAATTCCCCAAATTTCAAGGCAGTTTCATATTTGAAACCCAAGTGTTGCTGTTGGAAAAATTATAAAAGTTTTGGGAATATATACACCAAGAAATTCCTATTTTTAAAAATTCGACGCATTATTTGGGAAAGTGTATGTGGTTACAACGCGCTTGGCTCCTCTGGCTTTTTGCTTTATACTACTGCCATTGCTACCGGACGAATTCTCTGCACCGGCTCTACACAATCACCGAATCTATTGTAGATCGTCACCTGGTGCAAGGACAAAACCATAAATCGGTATACGCAACAACTACTCCAAGGCAATATACATTTGGTAAAAATAAAAAAGTAGAGGCTTCAACACAAAGTTTGTTTAGACAAGGACGTATTTACGCATTAGCACACGACGATAGCAACAAGATGGAAAGCTCTAGTGATCTAGATGACTCATCACTGCCTTTGCTGGGCAAAAGCAGGCTGCTTGGAATGGGTAGCACTATGGTGGAGCTGATGATGCCTAACGTATACACGGAACGCATTGAGGGTTTCATAAAATACATACCAGAAGATTTTGTGGTGAACGAAATAGACACTAATGGGAAGATCGTGGTAGCACGACGTACTGCTCATACCCAAGTTGCAGCAATGGCACTGGAACACCAGCGTTCTCGGACTTCGGGAGAAACTTTCCTGAAACTGCGGAAGGTTGGCAACCTCATGGGGACCATGAAGTACCCAGCAACTATTTTCACGAAAGAGGACACTCGACGCTTAGATGCACTTCTGGATGAGCTGGTATCCTATATGGTCGATAAACAGGGTCCATCGATATCGCATAAGAAACCCCCTTTCTGCCTTCTGGTACTACAAGAGAGCGATAATCCAAAAGAGACGCGTACTCAGACCCACACATTCATTCGTGAGAACTTGCCATTTTTGGATTCAGTCGCCAATTCGCTTAGTAAATTTCGTGACAAGGACCACGAACAATACTTGAGCAGTAATCTGAGCAAGGACGAGGCAGATGACGATTGTAAGCTACTTATCAAGGTATTTCCTCGGCCCGAGTGTGTACGCTCAATACAAAATGTTCGCCAAGGTCCAGACGACTGGGAGGATGACGTGCTGAAGAACATGCCACCTTGCGGGATGCCAACCTTAGAAGGAGTCGTGAAACACCTTGATCTTACAAACTACAGCAAGTTCCCTGTCGACTTCAAGGAAAAGCAGAAGATGAAGCAATATTTGCATTTCAATATACAGAAGCGTGATCGTAGCACACACGAGATCACCCACATGCTTTGTCGCACATTGCGTAGATCGTCACACGATATTTTCACGGCAGGTAACAAGGATCGACGTGCCATAACTACACAAAGATTCTGCATACGTCGCGCCAAAATAGAAGACTTTGTTGCTGCGATGACCCACCCTAAGTGGCTAGACACTGTAGTAGCGGCCGACTTCCGATACAGTCCTGAACGCCTCAAGTTAGGTGATTTGCGTGGAAACACATTTTGGGTGACCATCCGTGGTATTTCCGATGTGCAGCAGGCGCTGATCAATTTGGAATCTTTGCGATTCAACGGTTTCCTGAATTATTTTGGCCTGCAGAGGTTCGGAAGCCTACATGTTGGTACACATATGGTTGGTGCAGCGATGCTTCGCCGGGACTATGAAGGTGTTGTAAGGCTGATTATAAACAACGAAGAGGTTGTGGATCGATATTTAGCATCGAGACGTGCTCGTGCTGCCAAAGAAACAGGTGATATGACCCATTCATGTCATTATCACGATCCGGGCACAGATCCTAATGATGATCAACATAATACCAAACATTGTGGAAGTGACAGAAAGCGAGGTAGGTGCGGGCATTGCGAACGTAATCATTACGGTGGTGAGAGCGGTGTGGATACAATCGCTAATCTCAAGTCATCTCCTGAGGTGGATGTTGAGCATATGGCTCCGCATATTGGAGAAACCGCTGTGGAAGACCCCTCAGGAAGAATGGAGTCACCTACTCCCTCTTCAGATTCTGTGCCTACCCTCGAGGCAGATGCTCTTATGAAGGTATCACCTTCGTTTTCGTTTATCGAACGGGATATCATAAATGGTATGGAGAGAAACAAACCAATCGAAGACGTGTTACGCCGTATCCCGGCAAATGTGCTCAGCATATATGTACATGCCGCCCAAAGTCTGGTGTTCAATTATGTGCTGACAGAGCGCCTAAAGAAGTATGGTACGAAACCCGTAGCTGGAGACTTCGTTATACGTTCGTCTCAGCTCCCGCTGACCACCAGCATTGAGGGTGAATATTTGGACTGCGCATCTGGAGACAACGATTCAGAACTGCAATCTATGCCCGCGACCATAGAACCTCAAGCATATGTCGTGTCAAACCATGATCTAGACAAGTGGTCACTCTATGATGTGGTTCTGCCTCTACCAGGTGACAACATAGAGTATCCAGAGTTTTTAAGACCCGTTTACGAGCGTGTTGTGAATGAGCAATTCGGTATGTCTTTAGACATGTTCTCTAC